GGAGGGGGTTTGAGGGAGAGGCTCCACACTAGCAGGATAGCTGCTGGACCCTCTCCCCAAGATACCCACCAAGTTTCAAAAACATTGGACCAGGGGGTCCAATTCTATGGGTGCCCAAACATGTTGCCCCCATCCCCTCCATTGTTCTCTATGGTGGGGGGGAAGTTACTTTTTCCACACGGTGCTGTTAGTGGCTCTGGGGTGGGGAAGGGGTTTGAGGGAGAGGCTCCAAATTTTCAGGGTAGCTTTGGGAGCCTCTCCCCACATAAACCCCCACGTACCAAAGCAATTGGACCAGTGGGCCCAATTCTATGGGCACCCAAACAGGTTACCCCCATTACCTCCATTGTTTCCAATGGGGAAACCCAGCCAGCAGCACTTAAGGCAGGCAAGCAGGCAGCACTCAGCAGTCAGACTCTCCCAGAGAATCTCAGGGAAAGTGAACTGTCTTGGGAGGCGCTTGTTTGCCGTGAGAATAAGTGGCACACTCCGGAACAAGTGGCACTGTGGCAGTGCAAGCATGCCACAGTGCCACACAGAAACCCCAAAAAACCAACGTGGGGGGGGGGGAGGCCAGTTTCAGCCAATTGCTGCATGCATGTGCAGCCTGCAAGGTTGGTGGTGTTGCTTTGCACACCACCTTCCTTGCTTGGGAGGGGGGGGAGAGTCAACTCTACCCAACTCTACCCTGGCCTGACCTGCTACCTCCCTGGACTTCTGGTTGCACTATCAATTTACACAGGGCAGGACCTGTATAAATGCTGCTCCTGCTTAGCTCCCAAGACCGGACAAGGACAGGCCAGCCTGGGTCATCCGGGTCAGAACCAGGCAACAAACGAGGGAGAGAGATTGAGCACAAGTCTTTTCTCTGATGCATTCAGTCTGCCAGACGCAGGGAAGTTTTCACATGGAGGAGTATCAAAACAGTACGCACCCTAAATGCAATACCTCTTGAAGTCAACCACCTCCTTCTGAGAGATACTTACAAGGCTTTGAGATTCAGCACTGATACCCTGCTAAAGCAGTGGGTGAAGGGGACACCTGTGGAGCATGGCGAGTCCCAGGACACCAGAACTAGGGACCAAGGCAAAATTTACACCTTATGGCCGTTGTCAACCACAGAGTTTCCATCACCTCCCAGGTCTGAGCCATGGCCCTGCAGCACTGCTCGTGGCCCTGCAGTTTGACTTGCTCCTCCAGGATGGGGTTGTCAACTCTGTGTTGAGAAATTCCTGGAGATTTGGGGGGGTGGAACTTGGGAGGGCTGGGACTGGGAGGGGAGGGGCCTCAGCATGGCATAATGCCACAGTGTCTACCAATGCTCCCTCTAAGCTGTAGAGACTCGCGAGCAAAAAAATTCTCCTTTGTGAGCTCCTGGCATTGAAGTTGGGAGCGAGCGGTTTGGCTCCTGCATAAATTAGTGTGCTCCGGAGCCGTCCTTCCTGAGTGGAGACAAAAATGTGTGAGCCGGAGGCTAAAAAAACTGAGCTGGCTCACACGAACTCAGCTTAGCGGGAACACTGGTGTCTACCCTCCAAAGCGGCCATTCTCTCCAGGAAAAGTAACCTCCATAGTCTGGAGTGGGGGAAAAATTTCCTTGAATTAAACTTGCTGAGATTCTCAAGCAATGAAGATAAGTTTCTGATGGGTGGCTGTGCTGGTCTGCAGGAAAGGAGTCGGATTCAAGTCCAGTAGCAGTTTAGACACTAATGAGATCTGCAGGGTAGAAGCTTCTGACAGTCAAAGCTCCCTTCCTTAGGAAGCTTTGACTCTTGAAACTTATACCCTGGGAATCCTGTTGGTCTTTAAGGTGCTACCAGACTTGACTCTCGCTGAACCAGTGCAGATTTCCCACTAGCTAGAAAGTGCTTTGCAGGTCTTCAGAGTTAGTTGACCGTCCAGAAAGTCTGCAGGCCTGGAGGTTTCACATGGTATGGGTAAGGAAAAGGTGACCGTCTGATCAAAGCACGCGTTGGCTTGTTCTGCGTCTGGCATTCGCTCCACATTGTCTCAACACTGAGGAAAATGTGCAGCTCAAGACCACATCTGGATACCCCCCGGGCAATGCCATACCGACTGCAAAGTCACCCCTGAATGGCCACAAAATGGCCATAAGTCTATGCAGAAGGTACCATAAAACCCAATGATTAAAGGAAGCAAAAGCGGCATGCAATGTGGTAAAGGTAAAGGTTCCCTTGCTTGAAAGCCAGTCGAATCCGACTCTAGGGTTGCGGTGCTCATCTCTGTTTCAAAGCCGAAGAGCCAGCGCTGTCCAAAGACGTTCCCGTGGTCATGTGGCCGGCATGACTAAACACCAAGGTGCATGGAATGCTGTTACCTTCCCACTGAAGTGGTACCTATTTATCTACTTGCAATTTCTTGCTTTCGAACTGCTAGGTTGGCAGGAGCTGGAACTAGAGACGGGAGCTCACCCCGTCATGCGGCACCCGGGTCTCGAACTGCTAAACTACCGACCTTCCACAGCCTGCAGTTCAGCGTCTTAACCACTTGAGCCACCGCAGTGTGGAGGGTACCATAAAATCTGACGATCAAAGGAAGTGAAAGCAGCATGCAATGCAGAGGGGGATTTCTGTTCCAACGTGGGTTTGCTAAATCAATGGAGGGGAAAGCCCAATGCAGAATCGCCCCTTGTCAAATTTCAAGAAGCAGATTGTTTGAAAGTATCTTTTCTTCTTTCGTGCCAGTAGATGGAGCTGATCATTTAAGTATCAGACAGGCACCCTCCCAGGATTTTTTTTAAGACAAGAAAAGCTTGGGTCTCCATTGTTAACGGTATTCATTTTCTCCTTCTCTCGCTGAAAAAAGGGGGAAATCTCAAAATCGATTCTTCAAAGTACTCTAGGCATTTTGGAGCAACAAAGAGGTTTCTCTGACATATTTAGCGTCCAAAACTGGTCACGTAATACTTTGTGAAGCCGGCTTGGGAAGCGGAAGGGATAATAGCCGCTACTCAAGAGAGAAAGTGAGTTAACTTTCTAAATAGAGAGGGCAGCGGGGGGACTCTCCTGATCAAATCTCTTTCGGCTGAATGGAAGAGGAACAAGAAAGTTC